AGCTGGTAGTTTTGAACTGCCAACCTTGCGGTTAGAAGTCCAGTGCTTGTCTTACAACACAACACTAGGGTTCCAATGTAAATGCATGGTAAATTGTTAAATATATGAATATATGTCTTCCGTCCTTTGTCTATATCCTTTTTTTTTAAACTCTTGTAGCTCTAAATGAGCACCCAACAGGCTCATAAAACCAGTGAAGAAGTTAGAGGAGAGAGGGTAGGTAAGAAGTTTAATTAAACTCTTACGATTAATTTGGTGTATGCTGTTGTTAGTAACCCTGTACAGGGGTTTCCGAGGAGCAGCTGGTGTGTTTGAACCATTGACTTTGTGGTTCTCAGTCCAGTGCTGATCCTACAGCACCACACCAGTGGTCCAGTTTGGTATATGTTGTTGGTGGTGTTAAGTCCTTGTAGAGTCTGTTCCATTTCAAAGCGACCCTGTTTAGGGTTTCCAAGGAATAGCTGGTGAGTTTGAACCGCCGATCATGCTGTTAAAATCGGTTTTGCAGTCCAGTCAGTGCTTATTTTACAGTGCCACACAAGAACTCCAGTTTGGTGTATGGTGGTGGTGGTGATGCCCCATGGCGTCAGTTCTCACTCAGTGATCCTGTATAGGATTTCCGAAGCCATAAGTCTTTATGGGAGCAGATACCTCATCTTTCTCACATGGAACTAACTGCTGGTTGTTTTGAACTGCTGATCGTGAGATTAGCAGCCCAAGTCGTAACCACTACACTACTTTAGTTGAAGTTAGAGAAATGAATGAGTAACACTTTAGTAAAAAGTTTAATTGAAAAAGTAAGTACTGTTGAAAAAGCTTTAAAAAGAAAAACAGAAAGTAAGATTTTGCCATAGAGAATTTACAAATTTACAGGTAACCTTAGAATGTAAATGGTTAGTTGCCGGGAGTCTCAGGATGGATCCTGAGAAATTTGCCTTGCAAGTGTAAAAAAACTGTTAGGATGCTTGCATGAGCCAGTAAGACAAGTTTCCCTTGTTACATCAGTTTTGGTGATTAGACTTCATGTTGTACATACCTGAATGGGTGTCTTCCTACCTTAACCCCTGGACTTGTTCTTTTCTTTCCTTTATATCAAAACATATCTATTGTTTTAGGCTGTGGATTCTTGTTTTCTTCAGGTTGTGGCCAAGTGAATTAAACAATTAGTTCTGTGCCATAATGAATGTAAAAAGTGCTGCTGCCTGGGGAAGCTCTGGAGAATCCTTTTGAAGAGGGAAGAATCCAGTCCATTGGTGGATTGCATCATAATCCTTTCCCTGACTCCAGTTTATTTTCTTATATATTCATATTTCTACTTGACTAATTAAAGCTAAGCTTATTAGAAGAAGAAATGACTGCATTGAGGATTTATTGTAAGAAGAATTAGCTTTAGACTGTTCAAAATGATGGGCTGGTATATAAGCTTTACATTTTATTTGTATTGGTTTGATCTTCATTTTTTTCAACTACACTTCAGCAATAGTTTTATTTTTGTGCTATCTTACAGTTTATCAGATTAAGGTAGTGTTACTTTGCATAAAAAAAATAGGCAAATATATATATTTGACAATAATTTTGAAATTTCTCTGCTAATCAGCTTTGATTGTTGAACAGTATTACCTCACATCACCTGAACTTGACACATTGTTTCAGCTGATTTAGAATCATGTCATTTTGTGTTTTCCTGACATTAATATGGGCTTAGTTTGATAACAGCTGATTAAGTAACCAGAAAAATGGCTATACAAAAACCAGACTCGCTTTCAAATATATTCTAATTCATGCCACCATGCAGGATAGGGTACAACTGCCCTATAGGGTTTCTAAGACTGAAATCTAGGGTGCTGACTACCAAATCTTTCTCCCATGGAGTCTCTGGTGGATTTGAACTGCCTAACTTTTTAGTGTGATGCTGTGAGTTAATGTGCTTGCTGGGCAGCAAAGTCGGTTTGAACTACAGGGTCGGCGGTTCAAGCTCACCAGCTGCTCTTCGGAAACCCTATACAGGGATGCTTTAGGTGGGAACTAACTCTGATGACACTTAACAACAACAACTTTCAGGTAGCAATTAAGTATTTAATCACTATACCATCAGCCAGTGGTTAAGTGGCCATTTGTTGCTGTTGTTAGGTGCCATTGAGTCGGTACCGACTCATATTGACCTTATGCACAGCAGAACGGAACACTGCCTGATACTGGGCCAACCTCACTACTGTTGCCATGCTTAAGTCCATCGACGCTTAAGTCTACTTGGTCAATCTATCTCAGGGATATCTTCCTCTTTTTCTCTGTCCCTCCACCTTACCAAACATGAAATCCTTCTCCAGTGACTGGTCCCTCCTGACAATATGTTCGAAGTATGAGAGGTGAAGTTTGGCCATCTTGACCTCAAAGGAGCACTTGACCTCAAAGCTGCACTTCTTCCAAAACATATCTATTGGTTCTTTTGGCAGCCCATGGCACTTTCAATATTCTTCTCCAACACCATAACTCAAAAACATCAATTCTTCTATGGTCTTCCTTATTCACTGTCCAGCTTTCACACGCATATGAGGTTATTGAAAATACTATGGCTTGGGTCAGGCGCACCTTAGTCCTCAAGCTGACATCTTTGCTCTTCAACACTTTAAAAAGGTCTTGTGCAGCAAATTTGCCTAATGCAATTTGTCATTTGATTTCTTGACTGCTTGCTTCCATGAGTGTTGATAGTTGATCCAAGAAGAATGAAATCCTTGACAACTTCATTCTTTTCTCTGTTGATAAGAATGTTGTTTATTGGTCCAGTGGTGAGAATTTTTGTTTTCTTTACATTTAAGTTTCCATAGAAACCTTTAAAAGTAAGGGGAGAGTGGTGGTGTGCCAGCGACCTTGTATAGGGTTTCCAAGTGAGGCTTATATGTAATAGTCTAACATTTGATTAATTCAGCTTATTTGGCAAGCATTTGGTGAATTAACAGTGTGTGTTTAATCGTTAGGTTTACAAAGATGAGACATTGTCTGAGTTGGTTAGTAACCCGACTTTTCATTGTTTTTCCAAACTGTTATGTAGTCATTGATGGCTAGAGTGGTGTTTTTTTTGTCCCAGATGTTAGAATTAGGGTTACCACTACCAGTTCCCATCGAGGCAATCCTGTGTGTCATAAATGAACTTTGTTCCATAGGATTTTCAGTGACTGATCTTTTTAGAACTCAATCTCCAGGCCTTCCTTCCAGGGTGCCTTTGGGTGGACTTGACCTCCAACTTTCAGTTAGCAGCTAAGGTCTCAGAGTTAGGGTTAAAAACTAAATCTCATTTCTAATCCAGTTATGTTTTCTTAACTGCTTCTGTGTTTTATATCGCCCTGTGGTTTTATATAACCTTTGGACTAACGTCCTTTAATGCGATGTCATATTCAATTTGTAACATTGTAATCAATCAATTTGGAATTGGCTTTTTGATAAGTGGCAGTGGGTTTGGGTTTGGTTTGGGTTCCGAGGTAACAACTATAAAATGCTATAGCATAGGTAAGCAGCCAGAAGTAGTTTTGTTTTAAAACTGTTACGAGCCATTGTATTGATTCCTTACTCATAATGACCCTTTATAGGGTTTCTAAGGAGTAGCTGGTGAGTTTGAATCACTAACCTTGCAGTTAGCAGGCTAATGTTTATTCCACAGTGCCACACCCCAGCAATATTTTGGTAATTGCTGGTGGTAAAAATATGATTTTACTCCTGAAGACACTCCTGGATTAATGATAAGTAGAATACTGTTTAATTTTTTTCGTATACTTAGTCGCTGCTATTGGAAAATTAAGTGTAATGTGTAAATTTCTGAGAATAACATCAACAGAAAGTTTGACTGTTAGTGCTGTTTGAACTCAGATACAGAATTTAAAGTTGGAGATTTTGACAGTTTCCTTCATACCTGGTCTAAGGATTATTTTCAAGTCTGATATTTATAAACCAAGGACAGGCTATATTCATACCATGTGATTCAATACCTCTGATTTTATGTTTTAGAGCATGACTTGCACATTGGATGATGATATTAAAATATTGAATTGTTAAAAATTTTTTGCTCTTTATAGGCACAAATATACTATTCTGACCTTATCTAACTCAGAAACATTTTTCTTTCTTTATGTCTTCCCTGAAATTAATTGTGCTTAATGCCAAAAATCTAGTTATGTTTTTGATGGTTTCATTTATGCCTTTTCTATGTACAAATAATTAGAAAACTGTTAAATTTGCATTTAGACAGATAGAAAGTAGATATGAATTAAGAAAGAGTTACATTGTTTATTGCTATAAAATGTCTTGGATTTATTTAGACAGACAGGAAATTTTTTGGCATCTTGAATGATCCTTTGGGAAAAAAAGCCTGCAGTTTTAAAACTGAACATTAATCTTGTAAATTCATAATTGGTGGGTCCCAGAAGACACTGAAAATAGTTATTACTGTTTTAGATCTGTTGTCTGATTTGTAAAGATGAGAAGAGTTTAAAGATTATAAACAGCATAATTTCTATTAATTAATCCGATTTGGTTAATAGCAAAATAATTCAAAACACTTAAAACTCAATGTTGTGTCATCTTGTTGTTGTTAAGTGCTAATCAGTCAGTTCCCACTCATAGCTTCTGAGGAGCAACTGGTGGATTTGAACTGTTGACCATGTGGTTTGCAGTCCAGTGGTGATCCTACAGAGCCACACCAATTTTTATTAAATTATTCCATGTGGAGGGTTGCAGGAATGCTCAGTTACTGAAGAGCTTTACTGTGCATTCTCTGTGTGTGTCTGTGTGCTTCAATTTACATATGCGTGTTGTGCACATATGATTATTTAGATAAAAAAATTGAGACCTTCCTACTGATTCATATTTTTCTTTGTTTTTGGTATTGTGCTAGGATTTTACATACGAAATAACCGATAAGAGAAACTTTGTATAAATGTTACTCAAAAAAAATGACCAACATGGATAGTAGTTGATTTAATTAATTATTCATTGTGTTTCATTTTTAGAGAGTTCGTCAGTCAAGCCAGGCAATATGCTATTGCTGCTGAAAAAAAGAATTACCTGCAAGAGGAGTCAATGTCTGCTCATAGAAGGAGTGCCAGTCAGTTTGATTGGGCTCTAATGAGACTAGATAATTCTGTCCGAAGAACTGGTCGCATTCCAGAAACACTTCTACAAAAAGTCTTTGATAACACATGCCACTCAGGTATTTCCAAATTATCTGTTAGAAAAAAAAATTGAACTATTTCATCAAAATATATATGGGGCAAGCTCATTATAGAGTCTATAATTTGATATTTTTGATTGTCATATTCTAGTGATCATCATGATTTTGTTTTAGATGTTGAGTGTCTGCAAGTAAAAACTGTCTTTTTGTTGACCTTAGTTTGTATAAGTGTCACTTTCAGTGATGAATTTGTTTAAAAATATACTAGTTTTTCCATAGTCTTCCATTGTATAGAGTCAGGTTTTCCTAAGATGATCATGTGTGACAGGACTCATCATTACTTCTGTTTCATTTTAACTTAGCTATTAAAATCTGCTCGGGTCACTTACGCCTCTGATACTCTAGAAGTGCTCCCCCTCCCTACAACACCCCTGCAGTTATTGGCTTCCTGGTGCCCATCCATGGGTTTCAACGAGATGAAAAAGCATACATGCAGAACTTAGTGATGAAAGATACCAAAGAAATGTCAATTGTAATAATTCATTGTTTCTATTCTAAGACTTGGTAGCATTTCTTTTTCTAACTTTCCGTTTATGTACTTCAAGTCTCTTGTTTTTTAATAGCTTTATTGAGATGCCATACAGTTCACCTCATAGAAGTATGTAATTCAGTGGCTATTCACAGAGTTGTGACATCAATTTTAGATCCTTTTGTCACCCCACATCCCTAACCATCATCATTAACATTCTCATCCCTTCCCTCCCTAGGCAACCATTCTGGCTATGCTGGAAAATTAAAGTTACAGCTTCCAATAAAATTATAAATGATTTTTATGGATGAGGATAGGACTTTTGCAATTTATAGCTACTTTCTTAGTAATTTTTTAGGTTGGCAAGGAGACTTTTGCGTATTCTCAGATCACAGTTTAAATTTTGATGTTTATACATATGATTTAGTTCTGTGTTAAATACTACCCACTGATCATTTTTTAATAGGTAGCCCAGGTGGTAATCAAGCTTTGCTTCTACTGCGCAGCTGTGGTTCTCTCTTGCCTGAAGTGAAGCTCTCAGAGCGAACAGAATTTGTTCATAAGATATGGGACAAACTTCAGAAATTGGGTATGATTGTTTGATTATAGATACATGTAAAAGGTATGGGTGTTTATTCTTTTAACAGAATTTTATTGTTTTTTTAATACAAATAGTATAATTCAGTTTTATGAAGTCATTTACAATTTTTCTTGTAATATGATTTATTTGGTGAATTATAGTGACATCTAGGGGCTTTAATAATGAAATAGTTTTTCTTAAATTTTCATAAGCATTAATTTTATAGTAAGTTAAGAAAAAGTACAGAGTAGAAAACGATTTGATCTGTCAAAGTTATAAAAGCACAATGCTATTTGACCAAGCAGTTTAATTTGTTACACTTTAGATATATATGTGGCGCTGTGGGATAAAGCACTGGACCGCAAGGCTGGTTTGAACCACAGGGTCAGTGGTTCAAACTCGCCAGTCACTCTTTGGGAACCCTATACAGGGTCACTATAAGTCGAAACTGACTGGACAGCACTTAACAGTAACATACTCAATATACTCACATGTGCAAAAAGACTGCTATTCATTGTAACTTGTTTTTAGTAGAAAGAAATCAGAACCAGTCCTGTTGTTATTGTTAAGTGTCATCCAGTTGCTTCCAACTCATAGCAACTCTGTATAGGGCTTCTGAGGAGGTGGCTGTTGGGTTCAAACGGCTGACTTCATTGTTAACAGTACAGTGCTTATCCTACAGCGCTACACTGTCTCTCAGTAGAAGATTAGGTAAATTATGCAACACTGTGTAACTGTTGGAGTCCTGGTATGGTGCTGTGGGTTAATGTGCCAGACTTGCAAAGCCGTTTGAACTGCAAGGTCGGTGGTTCAAGCTCACCAGCTGCTCCTTGGAAACCCTATACAGGGTCGCTATGGTTCAGAATCGACTCGATGGCACTTAACAAGAACAATAATGTAACTTTTTAAAAATAGAATTCTTTATATACTGATGGGAATATTCTTTAAGATATAAATGAATTTGTTGTTGTTATGTGCCGTGGAGTCGGTTCCGACGCATAGCGACCCTTCACAGGGTTTCCGAGGCAGTTAATCTTTTACGGGAGCAGAACGCCTCATCTTTCTCCCACGGAGCAGCTGGTAGTTTCGAACTGCCGACCTTGCGGTTCACAGCCCGATTCGTAACCACTACGTTACCAGAGCTCCTCAGTAAGGTGCAAAATAGTGTATATGCCATCCTCCATTTTAAAGAAAAGTGCTTATATATTTGTGTGTGGTGCTATGGGTTGATGTTCTGGACTGCAAGGTCGATTTGAATCACAAGGTCGGCAGTTACAGGTCACCAGCTGTTCCTCAGAAGCCCTACATAGGGTCGCTATGAGTTGGAACCGCTTCAATGGCACTTAACAACAACAGCAATGTGCACATAAACATATCAAATCGTAAGGTATTTCTGGAAACGTATGCTAGAAACTGGACACAATTTTGGGACTTTATGATCCTTTTTCTGTTTTGAACCATGTAAAGATAGTACCTTTTCAAAAACAGTTTTAAAAGACCATATGAAAATTCTTCAACAGTTGGAACCTTAAACAGATAACTAATATGTATAATGGCAATGAAATAAGCTATGTATGAATAACAGAAATTATTGGTTTTTAGGTGTTGTGATTGTTTTCTCTTAAATTTCAAAAAATCAACTTATAGTAAAGTAGCTAGCTGTAGAAAATGAAAATGTTACAGAATTTCTAATTTAAAAAGTTAGGAAATAAAATGGGTTAAAAAAATCCAATTTAGTATAGCCACAAAAAATAGAAAGTATCTAGGAATATCAATAAAAGAATTGTATAAAACCTATATGAATTTAAAAAAGACTGCAGAATAAAGAGAGTCTTATCTCATAGTTTTGAATTTTTATAGAATTCATTTTGATGACTAGTTAATTCTTCTAAAGTTTGAAAAAAAATATACACAATGGTTGGATTTTGGGGTAAAACATTTTTGTCATTCTTAATTAGAATTTTATACTAGTAGCTGTTAACCTCCCAGTGTGACAAAAATAAAAATAAAAAAGAAGAAAAGAAATGAAACTTGTTAGCATTCTATTGTTCAACAGTGATGTTGACAGTAATTAATATGAAAAGCCAATAGATGTTTGTCTCTGTGGGTTTTGAATAGTTTCCTTAGCTTCTCCAACAATACTTCCTTCAACTTTGGAGCTATAAACAACTATCCTTATAGAGGTTGATTTGAAGTGATGTTTTTTTAGAAGAAATATTCAGACACTATACGGTAATGCAGTTGCATAATTAGGTTGTGACTGTTCCATTGCAAATGTTATATACAAGGCCCTGTGTAGAATATTAGAGGTTGGTTCTCTTGCCTAGATTTCTAACAGACTATCTAGTTGCTCTGGTAGTGTAGTGTTACGAATCGCAAGGGCAGCAGTTTCAAACTACCAGCTGTTCGGCGGGAGAAAGATGAGGCTTTCTGCTCTCGTAAAGATTTACAGTCTCGGAAACCCTGTGCAGGGTCACTATGAGTCGGAACTGACTCACACAGCACATAACCAACCATTTAGTTGCAGATCCTATGGTTACTTACTAGCCACAGGACCTTACACAAGTGGTAGAGTCAGTATTTTAGTTCTGTTAGATGAGGTGGTTATTGGTACCTGCCTCAAAGCTGCTATGAGACATAACTGAGCCTTTATATGTAGAGCACTTAGCTTTGTTCCTGAAACATGGTTAGCCTACATGCCTGTTGCTGTCAATAGAACAGGTTTCTGCTGCATTGAAAGAATCTTATAATCTGGCATCAGGTGTTGACCAGACATGCTGTGTCCATAGACGGTTGAATGAAAATAGGAAATTTAGTGATGAAAAATTTAGTAAAGCATATGAAACACGTCAGGCCAGATTATCAGGAATTGAGTGGTAACCTTAATTGCTGTGATCTTAAACAAAGTGGACACAAAGATTTCAAAGGACATATAGGCTACAGGTATTTAACTTCAGACTAGAAATGGTGTTCCGCAACTAGTAAGGGAGTAGTTCTTTGAAACAAAGCCTTTGAGTAGCCTAGGTAGTAAACAAGCAAAACTGCCAACCCGGGTTTAATCTGATAAAAATAGCTATAATCACAATCCACCCGGCTCAGTGTGTCTGTAATGTGGTGAGGACTTCTGGGTGTAGAAAAATCTTCTAGTTACTTTAAAATATGAGTATTATCAGCATTTCCTAACAGATTTGTAATACATTAACACACACACATTTTTTGGGCTAAATTTATTTGCACGTGATTTATTTAAGTTGTGATTTAAGTACTTTGTAAAAATTTGACTAACATTCATTTGTAGGTACTGTGTATGATGTAAGTCACTACAATGCATTACTTAAAGTGTATCTTCAGAATGAATATAACTTTGCACCAACTGACTTCTTGGCAAAAATGGAGGAAGCAAACATTCAACCAAATCGAGTAGGTGTATGATAGTTATTACAAATGTTTATTGGTCACATTCACTTATTTTTAACCTAGACAAATATTAATTGACCCATTTTATTGACAGGTGACATACCAGAGGTTGATTGGCGCTTATTGTAATGTAGGAGATATTGAAGGTGCCAGGTAAGGATCTCTGTAAACTGTGTAAACTTAAAATTTTTCTATAAACTCTTTTAAAAAAAAAAATTTCGTTTTTAGTAATAGAATTTATTTTGGAAGCATTTCAACCTAGCACGATTTGAATAGAATATAAAATAGTGTGTAAGAGTTAAAACAGAAGTTCAGAATTGATATTTTCATTTAAAAACTGATTTACTGCAATGGAGACTTAAAATTGTTTAAGTTTACAGCTGACTTTACTTTTTAAAAAATATTTCATAAAGATAATTTTCTTAGCTATTAAAACTGAGCATTTTAAGAGTAAACCAGCTTTATCTCATCGATTCATAATAAAGTCAGTTGCAGTATTTCTCTGCTTGGGTAAAGTTGATTACTACTTCTGGATGGAAGACTTGGGAAACAGATAACTTGAAATGTGCGGTCTTATTTCTAAGTAAATGAATCTTATTAAACTGTATGTTTTTTAAAGTTAACTAGTGTAGACAAAGAGTCGAAGAGTCCTGGTGTGGAGCTGTAGAATAAGCAGCGCACCACAAAGTTGGTTTGAACTACAAAGTTAGCAGTTCAAACTCACCACCGCCCCTTGGAAATGCTGTACAGCATCGCTGTGAGTTGGAACCGACTCAGTGGTACTTAAAACAGCAGTGTAGAAAAACAATCATATTTTTTAAGATGACCTTGTATTTTTAATAAGAGTACCTGAAGACTATTGATATTTCAGGGAGTTGGGATTTGGTAAGAAGAAGTAGGTTTTCACTTTGAAGTTTTCAGAACAAGTATGTGTTACGATTACATTGTAAGAACAAAAATAAGATAAAGTAAGTGAAGGCCTGATTCTGTGCATGTTGTTAAAACGCTTTTTGATTTGTATTTTCACGGAATGCCTTCATTTCTTTTTTTGTTACAGCAAGATTCTTGGATATATGAAAAACAAGGATCTTCCTGTCACCGAGGCAGTGTTCAGTGCCCTTGTGACAGGGCATGCAAGAGCTGGGTAATGTTCAAAATAAGTTTGGTTCTTAAGTGAGGTTTAACTGTTGGAAAATTATTAAACCATGTTCAACTACCCCTTCAGAAAATTTGAGTGTATGAGGTAGAGCGTATGAACTCTTTTAATAACTTGCTCTTAATGTTTCATAGCACTTGAAAATTGTCCTGCCTTAAAAATAGAGCCTGATCCAAAGTAACTAACTTTATGAAGCTTACTTTGCTGGTATCCTGGAATATATATATATATTTTTGGGAAGTTACCTTTTCAAATTGAGGAGGTGCTTATGGTCTTTATTATTTTAAAAGCATATAACCAGTTTAAGACACACTTTTCCTTTTGACATTATCATGAATCCAAAGTATGCTGAAGGATTTTAAATCATAATATACTTAGGGTACTAAGTTTTAGATTGAATAATATATCTGGTGATTTGACAATGTTATACTTTGAAAGAATTCTGTTGACACAGTGGCCAAAGTACTCAGTGGTTATCTGAGAGGCCAGTGGTTCAAATCTACCAGCTGCTTCTGCACATATTTATAGCCCTGATAACCCATGGGGATAGTTCTAGTGTATGCTATGGGTTGTTACGAGTTGGGATAGTCTTAATGACAAATTGTAGTTTTTTATGTTCTTTAATTAACTTACAGAGATATGGAGAATGCAGAAAATATCCTCACAGTGATGAAAGAGGCTGGAATTGAGCCGGGCCCAGACACATACCTAGCATTGTTGAATGCATATGCTGAAAAGGGTGATATTGATCATGTTAAGCAGGTATGACTTCTGTCATATAAATCAACATAATACTTTAAAATCATTTGTATAAACTAGCATGTTTTACATGAGGCCGAAAAGGGTGCTGTATACAACTACTTTAAAGTGCAGTTGCATATAAGAATAATTCTAATTGTAATTCCGTATTTTGGTGCTGATATTACCATTATTCTTGAGTGGAATATTTTGCTGTATTATAAAGGATATCTTAGATCTTCAGACAATTGTTGTTTATAATATTTTAATCTTAGTATTTTAATTTATATAGATTTAAAATTAAATGAAAAAAGTCACTGGTTTCTAACTTTTCCTCTGATTTCTGGAATTATCTATAGACTTTGGAGAAGTTGGAGAAGTCTGATCTTTACCTTATGGACCGTGATTTATTGCAAATTATTTTTAGCTTCAGTAAAGCTGGGTATCCTCAGTATGTCTCAGAAATTTTGGAAAAAATTAAATATGAAAGAAGATATATTCCAGGTATTTAAAAAAATTATTTAAAAATTTTTCAATAAAAATTTCAATTTCAGCTGTTACAAGGGGGCTGAAAGTTTATGGAAAAATTAATGAACAGATCAGCACTGGACTATGAACCACAGGTTGATAGTTCAGCGGTTTAAACCTACCAGCTGTTCCTCGGGAAACCCTATACAAGGTGGCTTTGAGTAGGAACCAACTCAACAGCACTTAACGACAGCAACATATATGATGGAAAGTATGTTCTCTAACAGTAGGGGAGTGTAGATTGTAGCTCATGCATCCAAGACTTGTAAAGACAGCTTAACAAGCCAGAAAATCTTGAGTTAGAGAGTGTAGGTTTACTAATTTTATTTCACTTCGTTTTATTGTGATTCACAGATGCTGAATTTTTTACTAATTGAAGATTTGCTGCAACCTTGTGTCAAGCAAGTCTCTTGGCGCCATTTTCCCACCAGTGCGAGCTCACTTCATGTCTCTGTTTCATAGCTTGATAATTCTAAGAATATTTCACACTTTTTCATAAAGCTATTGCACACTTAGTTGAATGCAGTATAGTGTAGCATAATTTATGTGCATTGGGAAACCCCCAAAATTGTGTGACTCACTTTATTGCGATATTTGCTTTATTGTGGTAGTCTGAAATCAAACCTGCAATATCTTTGAGATATGCCTGTACTCGGGAATGTTTTCATTTTGAAATATTTCATGCTATTATTATTATACACCTCAAAGAAGTCAGGTATCTTTTGTCTTTAGTGCTTGCTGCAGTATAAAAATACTCGGTTCATTAAGAAAAAAAAAAAAAAATTCTTTCTTTCCAGATGCAATGAATCTCATTTTGCTTCTAATCACTGAAAAATTGGAAGATACAGCATTGCAAATTTTATTAGCATGTCCTATATCAAGAGAAGACAATATGAGTGATTTTGGAAGTTTCTTTTTACGGCATTGTGTGACAATGAATACGGTAATCTGTCCATTTTTAATTTGTATATAGCTTAATAAGCAGTGAAATAAGATTCTTTAAAATATTATGAAATGAAAGGAAAAGTTGTTATCCTAAAAGTGGTAGAGTATTTGCAGACAGTCTAATGACAGAATACTTGCCGATTTAGCTGATCTGATCACTTTTTTTTCCTCCCTAGCCTGTGGAGAAGCTGAAAGACTACTGTAAGAAGCTAAAGGAAAGCCAGATGCATTCATCTCCTTTTCAGTTCACGCTGTATTGTGCTTTAGTAGCCAATAAAACTGGTACCTCATTTTTATCGTTAAAATTAACATAAGCTAGTTTTGCTAAAGTACTTTCATAATGTTTTGTGCTATCTCTTTCAGATTTGGCAGAAGCGCTCATGAAGGCTCTAAAAGAAGAAGGTTTACCTGTCAGAACTCATTATTTCTGGCCATTGATAGTTGGACATCAGAAGGAGAAAAATGTTCAAGGTTAAGTGTCTCCTTTCATAGATTTGCAGTAGTTCAGAGATGTGTAACATTTTATACACACATCAAATTCAAAATCTTTGTGAAAGTTTACTGATTCCTAAGTAGGAGGATCTATCTTAATTTCATTTCTTGATTTACTTCTGATCTTGATACTCAGTCTTGTAAGTGTAGTTGTAAACAGGACATTATTTTTTAAGTTTTTAATAAGTGTTTTTAGCTCTTGGTTTCTTAGACAGTTTTTGAAATTAGTTTGTCTAGTTTTCAGGGAAGATTTAAAGGCAAAGTTAGATTCAGCCAGGTTCATCACAACCAGAAGCATGGCTCTTCTCTGTGAACCAGTGTGTTTCTTCTTCACTGAGCTGAGTTGCAATGAGGAACGGCAGAAAACTTTCAGTGCGAAATGAGTGCTCTTGACCTGACAGCCTGCTGATTGAAGGACAGAAATGCTCAATCTTTCACGTTCTTAAGTAGGTTTAAGCATTTAGCACACTTTTCCCTGGTACACATGGGATGTCTATAGGATATGAATAAGAATTGAACAAATATTAAATTTTAGAGTACAGTATCTAATTCTTTGGTTTGCATTACTGGTAATTCAGAAAGAGTAGTCTCATAAAAAGATGCTTTTAACAGAAGTACTTCCCCCTTGGGGAAACAAAAAATGGTCTTTCTCATTTTATCTCACAGTATAATGTGCTTTAGAATGAGATGCAGAGTTGTTAGTGTGACATTGGGTGACAAACAAAATGCACAAACAACAAAAAAAGTGCTTTTAGCAGACTTTCATATTGCAATTTTACTTAAAATATATAGTCGTCTTCTGGTTTAAAGGAATACTGAAACAAGTATTCCCTAATTGTTTCTGGCTATAAAAGTCTGTAAATCCTTTTTAGAAAGATCTTTGTGAAAACAATATGCTATTTGATTAACTCTTTACACATCCTGCAGTTCTGAAAGCTCTAAGAGATAACATTTAACTTAGTGTTTTTGAACCACAGAATTTGCATCTTCCTTGAAAATCTGTAGGCATATTGGTATTGTCCATCTTTACACAGGGATTGGACAAACTTAAAGTCCCCCTGCTAAACTATTTGTTTGTTCATCAGGTAGATTTGCTTTCCCCAGCCAAATACAGCATCTAGACTGGAATTAGGTAAACATAAAAGAAGTCAAGTGCTTTCTTTCTACAACTGTAGCTTGAACTAGTAGAAAAATGGCTTTATCTTGAATCCATCTTTTCTAAGAATCTTTGCTTTAGATTTTAATGCTGCCTTGTTGAAACCTCACATTTTATTAATGAGAAACAGAATTGCAAAGAGGTTCGTTGACTGCCTTTTGGTGCCATAAACATTTAGCTGTTGGCAGTGCTGAGATTAAAATTGAGATTTTTCTGCCTATTTTAAATACTCAGTGATATCACCGTCATACTGAACTTTTATGCTGCATTTATTTATTTTAACTTTTTATTGTAAATTGAAGGTTTGCAGACAAGAGCTTTGCATTCAACAAATCATACACTTTGTTTCATCTCAATGATTACAATCCCCTCCATACTACAGCTATCTATCTTTCTTCCTTCCTGTGGTTTCCATTTACAAATGAACAAAGCAAAATATATTTGATGCACACATACAAAACAAAAAATAGATTTATTCATTTAAATGTCCAAAGGGCACATTCTGCAAGCCAGCCTCCTGCCTGCAGGCACACAACCTAGAGCTCAAAGCTGCTCTGTCTCTCTGTGCCACCGTCTCAGCCATCTCTCTGCTTTCACTGCTTTTTTTGAGTAGGGATCTCATGCTCCAGTCATGCTGGTCTTTCTTGATGGTCCTGGAATCATCCCTGAAAGAAAAGATTAACTACTCCCCCTTTCAGTTAAGGAGCTTCTGGTAGTGTAGTGGTTATGAATCAGACTGCTAACCTCAAGGTAAGCAGTTAGAAACTACTGGCGGTTCCATGGGAGAAAGATGAGGCTTTCTGCTCCTGTAAAGATTTACAGCCTCAGAAACCCTAGGCAGGGAACTATGAACTGGAACTGATTCCACAGCACACCACCATCCTTTTAGTTATACACTTACAAGTACAGTTTTAACGATCACAATTAATCCTGCTAACAGTTGCTCATTGTTGAATGATAAAATCCTATCATTATCATCTCCCACTCCCTTTTACCAGATCCATCAGGAAAAGAGTAAAACTATTCAGTGGGCATTTTACCTTACCCTCTTCATTCTGAAACTAAGCACACTGATGAAAGCTTGCAAGCCAGCCACTTCATGCCTTTATAGCCTCCCATTTTTGATAGCCAGTGTCTGAATTGCCCATTCCTATCAACCCAGTGCACTGAGGACACAAAGAATCTTCGATTCTGTTGGAATTTTGAGCAACTGCATTCATAAGCGAAAGTCCAATTCATCTAAGTGTAGTAATTACTCACAATGTCAAACATCTTTATCTGGTAAGGTCAGCCCTAGCCAGCCAAGTTAGGTCAAATAGGTATCAGCTGCAATTGTGGGCGTTCACATATACCTCCTTGCTGCACTTCACACCAGCTGCTTCCTTTACTCTGAGCCCTAACTCTAAGAGGCTAGGTTAGTGTCATTGAGCTCAGGATTTCACACAACAACCTGAGCTTCAGACCAGGCAGCCCTTCCTCTTCTCTCTTTCATCTTTAGGTCAGCAGGTGCCAGTGGAACATGTCCAAATTCAGCCTGTGTCTTCATTGCTTTTGCGGCATTTATTTTATGAAAACTTAATTGTTGACTAAGAATTAGGTACGAGTTTTTGCCATTGTCGTTATTAAGTGCCACCAAGTCAGTGTTGACTCAGAGCAGTCTCGTATAGGGTTTCTGAGGCTTTAAATCTTTGCAGGAGCAGAAAGCATTGGGACATTTAAAAAAGAAGTACCAAGTATTTTAACCAGTGAAAATTGTATCTGGTAAAACACCAAAGCTTATCTTCATTGAGCAGTGTGACTTGAGAGTGCAAAAGATTATCATTTGTTTTTTGTTTTGTTTTGTTTTGTTTTTTTTT